TCCATGAATGGGGCATCCACAACTTCTCTGGGAACCTGTTCCAGTGCCTCACCACCCTCACAGGAAAGAATTTCCTAATAGCTAACCTAAATCTACCCTCTTTCAGTTTAAAACTGAAACCTTGTCATATCACTACACTCCCTGGTAAAGAGTCCTCCCCATCTCTCCTGTAGGCCACCTTTAGGTACTGGAAGGCTGCTATAAGTTCTCCCCGGAGCCTTCGCTTCTCCAGACTGAACAACCCCAGCTCTCTCAGTCTGTTTTCATAGGAGAGGTACTCCAGCCCTCTGATCATCTTTGTGGCCCTCCCCTGGACCCACTCCAACAGGTCCTTCTTATGTGTGTCCTTCTTATGTTGGCAGCTCCAGAGCTAGACACAGTACTCCAGGTAGGGTCTCATGAGAGGGCAGCAGGAGGGGCAGTATCACCTCCCTTGACCTGCTGGCCACGCTTCTTTTGATGCAGTCCAAGATACCGTTGGCAGACTTTGTTTTTCTCTTGAGGCTTTGGGTGCCCTTGCAAGCCCGGTCTTCAGGCCAGTGCTCCAATGAAATCAGTTCCCCTTCAACCATAATGAGGATTATGCTACCCTGAGGAGGCACCTTAATTCAAATTTGCAGTTGGAATCTTTCTTATATTCTGTTGCACAAAGATACCTAACCATCACCCTCTGCAACTCCTTAATCAGATGGTAAACATTTATACAGAATTTATTACCACACCACAAGCTTCTCCTGGTAATACATTTAACACACAGGGTGGCTCTTGGTCTCCAGGCTGGAGGGGTTGGGTACTTCTCTGAACTACTGCATCCTTGGTGGTTTGCATCTTCTTGGTGTTTGTTAATCTCAATTTTTTTTTATTTGTAATTAATTTTGTGTTATCTTGCTGAAAGTCGAGAAGTTCTCCCCCAGCTAATTTTAGTAACCAAGGGCTTTTTGGATTTCTGTGTTTATTCTCTCCAGGCAACCTTAAGCTTTACAGGCAGTATTGGTGTTCATAGACTGTTTTAAATTTCTTTATAATGCCCTGCAGTATGTTCCCTTGAAACATCAAGATTACAAATTCCTAGTTTTGCAAAACACAAATTGGAAAATAACATTTCTTTTCAGCATCGTTCTTTATCAGCATCGGTTTTGTACATAAATTATGAACCTAAGAAACACTTCTTCTTTTGGAGAGTTTATCACATTCAAAGAAATTAAAAATATTGTATAAAGATTGCATATAGAGGCATCAGGACCCCTTACCTAGTGATAAAGTAAATGTTTCCCAAGCTGAGTTTCTATGGACTGTATTTTTGCCATCCTCATTGTCAGGTCCTGGTCCGATTTCAGGCTCAGGAGGTTCTTATTCAGCCTGAGCAATCCTCTGGGATAATTCTATTGAAATCCCTGAAATAATTTTCAGAGGTAGGACCTACTGAGGTGATGAAGATGGCAGAGGCTGGCCTTTAGGGTAAGATCGAAAGCCTATTGCTGCTGATAAGAATTTTTCTATGTACTTCTGTGATGGCTTTAGATCAGCATGCTTTGACTTGTAGTGTTTATGTAGATGAATGTTGAGGAGGAGAGTAAATTTTTTTTTTACTAGAAGTTGTATTTAAATCTAGTTTCCTTCTTTTTTTTCAACATGAGTTTTGGTATTTTACCGAGAATTAGAATTTTGCATGCCATTAAAATGACATCTTATTTGTACAGGTGCATCCATTCAGACTTGAATTTTTTTTCATGTTATTATTTTTATTTTCAGAGTTGATTGGAGTCAGCAGTGTTCTTGAATCAGTCTCACCTGAATTTTTCCTTATTCTGTGGGGACTTAGTAGAAGAAAAAACATCAGATAAGGCACTGAACAGCTTGCATAAACAGTTCTTGAGACAACTATATCTATTTTGAGTTCCCAATAGACACTTTAAATTAGCATGAAAAGCAAGATTATTACGGTTTTGGGTACTTTGATGATCTAAGCTCTCAAGACATTGAATCCCTTTTTCTCAAGGCTTTTGTTCAGATTCCCTCGCTGCATAAAAAACACCGTCTTCTCTTTCTTATCCTTGCCTCCAGACCTAGAATCCAGAGTAGGCAGATCTTATGTTACAGATGCTATAGTGCTTAAAGTGGATAAATTCTGACATGGATAAATCCTGGCATTTCGAACATATTAAAAATTTTGGTGAATCATTGGCAAAAAGTCCAGCTGGAGGATTTTACTGTATATCATGAAGTTTTTAGAAGAGTCACTACAAATACACTACTGAGGATCTAAACCAGCTGATGGTGGCAAGAATTTGAGCCTTGTATAGTAGACTGTCTCTCTCTTTAGTTTAGGGCGCTGTACTCCTGTTCAGTGTGCCTGAAGGTTGTGCTCTTCAGTGACCCATCTTCATCAAGAAGATAGAAACGAGTTATGATTTTTTCCAACCTGAAGCCGATCATGTCAGCTTGGTGACTTAAAAAGTATTTTGTGAATTTTGAATAATTAATGTGGCACTTAAAAGGAGGTTGTTCTTTTTCATGCCTACCACTTCCTTTGCTTGGAGGATCCCAGAAGGACCTACTAAGAGAGAAGCAGTACAACAACGCGGAGTCCCTTTCCTCTCCCACCCATCCTCAGTGAGGGGATGCTGATCTCCTTAAGCTAACTCAGAAGCCTAGATTACTCCCCCAGTCATATGGTATCTTTCTGATATTTCTGTCTTTGGACTTTTTTTAAGGATTTTGGTCATTTGTTCAGTGTCTTTATTCTTTCTTCCAGGATTTTATTTGAAAGAAGTGTTTCAAAAGCCTCTATTACAGTAGCAGCTTTCACTGAGGTTATTTCAATTTTGTGATACTCCAGGCTCCAGAGTCTGCTTTTCAAACTCTCTGTTGAATCAAGCTGGAAACAGACATTTGAAGTGACTGCTTAGCAAAATAATTATTTTTTCCCAGTGGTCTAGAGTGAAAAATATGCAAATATGAATAAAATGAGCTCATTTGGAAGGCACTGAGCTTTAATGAATAACCATTTATATAACAGCAAAATAAAGCAAATTAAAATTTGTTGTGAACACAAGCACTTTTAAAAGAACAAATTAAGTGAACATACTGAGAGTTAAATCAAGACACTGGAGGCTTTAATAAGCCTGTTCTCTGCATGAAGAGTGCTGAATGAAAGAGGAATCAAATAAGACCTTCACACAATTGGCACCAAAGTATTTTTGTTTCTAGCCTAACTCTGTCTGTTCTAATAACACACTGAGTTTGAAATCTTACTCTAGTACATCGCTTGAGGTGAAACAGTGAGGAAAACTGATCCCTTGCCCATAACTCCTGTGCACAGATTTCCCCAGAAAGGGCAGTTTCACTGGAGAGTTTGTTTGTTGATGCTGCATCTATATCTGGAAATTAGCATCAAGCTGAATGTTTGTGTTCAGTACAAGGATGTATAGTTTTAAAGGAGAAAAAAAAAAAAAAAACACAACAAGAAGAAAATACTGCAAATATCTGCTTTGGTTTTTTTGTTGTGTGGTTTTTTTTTTTTTCCCTTTTCTTTCTTTCTTAGGCTGAGCAATATAATTCCAGAGTTAATGGAATTTATAGAGAACAGATCTGTACCAATATGACTCTAAGTTTTATGTGAGAATAATTTTCTCTACAGTATCTGGAATGCTAAATGTTTTTATTTTGGCTACGTTTATGTAAATATTGAGTCCTCTTGCATATCATGGAAACAAACATGTATTACAAATCATCTTTTTTTACTGCAGAAGCACAGCAAAATCTCCATCCTCAAATGAATGCATTAACCTACCTCCTCAAAGTCATCACGCTGTCCCAAAAATCTCCCTTCAGTGCTCTGAGCCTTCAGCCAGTGCAACCGATGGATGACACATGATCTATCTCAGAGGACTTATTTGCACTTTTTGAACACATTATCTGTGAGATTAAATTAATCAGTTTAACACTGGATAAAGCATATTCTAACGACTTAAAATAAATAGGAGCACATATCAACTAATGTGAGGAGGAGGTTGAACCAGATGACCTCCTGGGGTCCCTCCCAAGCTCAATTTATTCTGTGATGTTGTGATTATTTCCTTATCTTTGATAAAGGTTATTCACTGTTAGTAAGAAAAAAAAAAAAAAAAGTGAGAACAAAAGGGGAAAACCTGAAATTTCTGCTGCATAGCTAACAAGTGAATGAGAGGAGAGGACACTTGTGCAATGGCACAAAATAAAGCCAGTATAGAAAGCAAGGCAAAGATTTATATAATCAGGAAACGGAGAAGGCAACTTCATTAAATTCATAAGAAATACAAGTATTTATATCCAATTTAGATAATGAAAAAATAGGTATTTTGATGCATCATGCTATGGAAAATGTTTGTGGATGGATAAATGGAATGTTAAACTTCATTAAAAAAATAACTTTTACTACCAAGCACAATATTTTGCTTGTGGTTATGTTTTTTCCTTTAATATAAGTTACTATAAAACAATTGCCAAACAAATCTCAGACAATTATTAACTGTCTACTTAAGCTGAATGGCACAAAACACATTTATTCGATGTTTTATCACATTTTCTGTTAGCACAGGTAAAACTTTTTGTGAGCATTCAGGCCAGAGTAGTGGAGCCTTTCCTCCAACTGTGAAATTCTTCATTTTGGAAAAAGAGCGAGGGCAGGTCCACTCTAAACTATAGTGAAAATTTGTGGACTCCGGATGGGATAAAATTCACTTGGCTCACAGATTCTCATCTCAGTTCAGCTGGTCCAGCCAGCAGATGGTCACACCTTGTACGAATAAATGAGAGAAATGGCTGAACTCATGTAACAGCAGTGCATTTGTACAGCCCTCCTCAAAAACTTCTGCTGTCTGACAGCAACGTTTCACTCCTTTTCACTTAAAACTTCATATTGGTTTTACACTTCGGTTAGCCATTCATAGAGGCATGCTTATATTCACTGTCCTTAAGTTAATTGCATCACTAATTTTCCATTTTCTGTATTGTAACAGCTGGAAACAGTGAGAATGAGGGCCAAGAAGCAGTGAGGAAAATACAAGAAGAAACTTTGACTGGAAAAGGTACCATAGTATATAATTTTCTTTAAGGAACGCTTTATTGCTCTCTTTTTTCTGGTGTCTTCTTTTATATGAGGTCTTCTTGTGTATTGTTAAACTTTTTTTTTAGTTTGGAGTAACTAGTTTTTTAAGTAAATCTGACACAAAGGTAAAATGAGTAGGGTATTTTAAAAAAATGTTTTCAGTTTTGTTTGACTTCTTTAGTGTAGTCATTGCAAAAGTGCTGCCTGCAAGTTACAGTCTGCCTGTGCCTGTGTATGGGCACAATGATTAAATAGCTGGGCAGAAAATCAGAATACTAGTCATTTCTGCTAAGGGGAGGACGACAGCAAGCAAGAGTGGGTGTGCTTTTTTCCTTTGCTGGCTTTGCCTTCCATCATGGTGTATAATCCCATTTAAAAAGTTATTTTTGGGGTGTAAGAAGTTTCTAAAAGAACAGGGCTCTCCAACTGTGTTATTTGACACATGAGGAGAGTTATAACCCTTCACAAAATAAAACTTCTCTCTTACAAATAAATGGACGAAAATATCAAGCCAAAATTCTGATGTTTTTGTGGTTGTTCTGTTTTTTTCTCTTAATCTGATGAGCGATTGTTTTGAGGGAGGCATAAGGAGAGCATAGTTTGATAACTATGAGAAGAGGCACATTGCTCACTATCTGCTGTGTTATTATAATTTGCAGTTTGTGATGGAGGTTAGTGCATCTAGTATTTCCATCTCTTGGATTCACTGGGTGTAGTTCCTAGTAGTGTATGATGATTCACTGCTGCCACTTTGATGTATCATTTCTTGGCAAAATAATAGGGCAGTGCTGCTACTCCACCCTCTATTTAGGATCTTCATGGCTTCTTCTGAGATCTCATTCTGGTTTTGTGCCTCTAATAATTACTGTTATGATGATCAAAATGCGTTAATTATTGTGTTAAAAAAACCTTTCATTAAGATTTATCTTTTGACTTAAATAAATGTGCACCCATCATAGCCTCAGGATACATGTATGCTAGTTAAAAGCATCATAAATTAAGGCATAGTCAGAAGGATCATGAAAGGAAAAAGGTAATTATAACATCGTTTCAACCTTTTGCTGGAAGTTTCTGTACAGAGACCAAAAGTATTTGGAATTAATTACATCACGTGACCTGCGTGAATCTGAATAAACCAGGGTTTGTCTTATTTTCACACATCTGTGTGATCACAGGCTTTTCTTGCACCCCAGTCTTTCTTGATTTTTCTGAATGAAGTAAACTCTAACCTTCAGTTATAGGCTTTGTCAAGATACAGGTGGCAGTTTGATGAAGCCCAAAGTGTATCTAAAATTGACTGAAGTTGTTCCTTATTGTAATTACAATGACTGAGGCTTCATTAATCTCAAGTCCTGATAGATTTGGTCTAAAAAAACACTGGAAGAGTATTGCCTTTTCAGAATTTCTCACCAATTGAGGGGTATTTGTATTTGCAAGCACATTATCCTGTACAACGGACCTGTGCAAGCTTCCTTATTGTAATTACAATGACTGAGGCTTTATTAATCTCAAGTCCTGATATATTTGGTCTAAAAAAAACTAGAAGAGTATTACCTTTTCAGAATTTCTCACCAGTTGAGGGGTATTTGTATTTACAAGCGCATTATCCTGTACAACGGACCTGTGCAAGTCTGAGTAGCAGTTCCATGTTGAATTTGCACTTTGTAATGGGATGTGTGTGCAGATACTGTAACCAAAGCTAGGCTTTGTGAATATATCACCTTTTCAAAAGCTACATTTCAATATCTGTTTATTCACTGCATGAACGCATTATCAGTTATCTTGACCTTCCTGCCCCCCCTCCTTTTTTTGAACATTTTTCACATCCCATATGAAAAAACTGCTTACAGAAATTGTTCTTATCTAAAATATTGGACTCTTGAAGGAGAACTACTCAAAACAGTATTGCTCAGTGGCCAGCATGATCAAGGATTGGGACAATATAGTTGTTCTTCTTTTATGGTGGACAAACTATATGAGTGGGTGCCATCAGTTTGCTATCCAGATTTCAGATCTCTAATAAGAAGGAAAATCTCCTTGCTTGTCAGCAGGTTAGACAGCAAAAGGAAGCAAGAGATCTTGTCCTCTCCTTGTTGCCTGCCTAAGCCATAGCACAAACAACCCCAGAGACAGCTCTGGGAAAAGGCCAGGCCTGTTGAGTGCATGTAATTAGAGTGTTTTTAATGTACTATCATCTTTCTAAGTCTTGGCCCACTGTCTGTCTGGGGCTCTGTCTGCCATCTAAGGGTAAGTAGTTTTGACATAATCTACACTTCAGGGAAAAGTGAGATTCAAAGCATGTACATAAGTTATTCCTAGGAAGCAGCTGATGAGCAATAACGTTTTAACAGAGAAGGATAAAGGATAATAATAAAAAGTCTATGCACCAGGTGATGGTTTTTTTGCAGCAGCATGGCAAGACATGAAGAAAAGACTGACAAAACTTCTGAATACAGGGAGGCAGGAAGCCTGTTTTCCCATGCTGGAGGCATTCAAACCAGAGCCAGTGCCAAAAGGTGGTAGGGTGTTGGAGAGGAAAGCTGTTGTGGCTGTTCCCCTACAAGGCAGCACTGCTAAAGGACACAAAAGGTCTAAGCAATGTTTCACATCACCTCTTCCTACCACCCATCCTCTCCTGTGGTGCTACACCAGAAACCTCCTTGGTTCCTCTCCCTGCTGATTCCAGACTGTTTAGGTGTCTTCCTTGGTTTTGGGTCTCTGTGCTGAGTTACCTATTGCGAAGCGTAAAGAGCAAGGAAGGACATGGGCAGCTGAGTGGAGGAGAATAAGGTCCTTGGGGCATGGTAGACTGAATTCACTTGACCATCAGATCCTCCTCCATGATAAAGCAATCAAAGCCCTCAGATATCCAGAAAAGAACAGAAGAAGTGCTGCATTGTCATTAAAATTATCACATGGGCACTATTTCCAAAAGACCAAGGGCAACAGATTGCTACGCTCTGAATCATAAAGCTGGGAGAAGCCAGAATGATGTGGGCATTTATCTCGCTTCCATTTGTTAAATTGGGAACTTGTGTTGTTAATAGTAGCAATTATATGGCTGGGAAAATTGTTGATGGCTAGGGATTACCACAGAGATATTCTAATTGTGCAAGTCTCTGTAATTTAGGCATAGGGTGTGTCTGTGTTAGTGTGTTCATTAGTTAGATCAGGAGGGCGCTTTGCAGGCAACACTCCAACTGTTGCCCACTTGCTGAGCATGGGTTCGCATCAGGAGGGGCATCGCAGGTCCTCACATGGACTCTCTTTGGGCAGAACTAGCTTGGGAGGTAGCAGTAACAGAGCATTAGTGCACGGGAGCAAACTTAGAGTTTATCTGAACTGGAGAGTCCTGGTGACTTGTAGAAGTGCCTAGGTCAGGTGGGCAGCAGCACAAACTGAGCTCTAGAGATTGACTTTTGTTGACCCGAACCACTTGTTAATGTAGCCATAACCGTAGTTACCAGTCCTGAACAAACTACAATGAGTTAGGGAATTGGGAAGTTTCTGTGATAAACTCACCTCTCAGTGATGATACTAAAAAAAAATCTTTCCACATACATAATGGAGTCTATCTCCTGACTCAGTTACCCTCAGTTTACATCTCTGCAAATGAAAGCTGGTTTTAGCCTGATGATTACAAACATACAAATGTTGGAAACTAATATATAAACATGAATGAAAGCTTCATTCATTCCATCATAGGTTCATGAATGCCAATGGAATCAGCAATTAGCAAAAGTTTATGCATAAATATCACTTAGCAGAGTACCAAGGAAAGGCTCTCACAACTGCAGTGTAGGAGCTGGAGCTGCAAGTAGACTCAAAGGAGAAAAAAAATTAAAAGTTAGTGAGAAAACAGGGTGTAAAAGTCATATTAAGCACAGACCTCTTCAAAAGGAGAAGCCTGTGTTTAATCTCACCCAACATTTTTGTGGCAATTCAAATAAAACCACAATTATAAAACTACGCACTAAATCCACAGCATTCATGAGACTTCCATTTGAAGCCAGGTGAGAAAGGAAGAAGAGACCTTCTCCCTCGGAGTCAGAGAAATGCAGAGGTTAGCACGGTGCTAACCAAATCGTGTCGTTTACAGTCTGACCCACATCAAGACAGTGTGGGCCAAGCAGTAGGAGGAATGATACCACCTTTAAAACACTGCGATTCACATGCATTCAACAAGCCTGGCTTTTTCCCAGAGCTTTCTCTTGGGATGTTTGTGCTACAAAAGGCTCAGCCAGGAAGCAAGATGACAAGGTCTCTTGTTGCTCCCTTTTGCAGTGTAACCCGCTAACTAGCAAGGAGATTTTCCTTGTTATTAGAGATCTGAAATCAAATAGAAGAAGGTAATCTAGCAGATAGGTACCAAGCATAATTGCAGAATAACTCATGTGTGGTTACTGTACTGACACTTGCTGTACGTCAGGCATCAGTTTTAACAAAACGGTCCATGTTTTTCTGCTTTGTACCAGACTGTTTGTTGTTGGTTTTCCCTGCAGGCTAGAGAAAGGCAGCTGCTGAGATTTCCCAAAATCCCAAACTTTTAGATTTGTTTCTGCCCAAGAGTCAATGGTGGTATTCCCAGCACATGGGCCAGAGTTGTGTAAACCAGTTCAGCACAAAGCAATGCATTGCTAAAATGTACAAAAATGTCACCTGTGACTTCCTCTTTGATATGGTATGTCAAAGATGTTATGGAAGTGATCGTTCAGCTGGTCAAAAATAGTGGAAAATATTTGTGGTTGAGATGTATTGTTTGTAAGTGTGCATAAGCTTGTATGAGTTTATACTTGCTATTGCCAGATTTGCTTTTCATGTTGTAGGTTCAAGGTGTAAAAGTGTAACATCCTGAGCTTGTGGCAAGACCTGACGTGGCTACTTTGTCCCTTCTACCACATCCTGCCATTGGCATATCTTTTCTCTACCACTGTTGATGCTGAAAGACCTGTAGGATTGGTTTAAAAAGTTTCCTAGCAA